GGGGGGAGGCCCCGCCCCTCGGGCTCCCGTCTCCAGGCGCCTCGCTCACCGGTGCCCTCATTGTGCGAGTGCAGAAGCTCCATGAGTGGGGCCGAGGCCCCCTCAGCGTCGATGGCGTCGGCGGCCTCCTTGTCCTGGGCCAGCTCGCACAGCACCCCGGCTGCCACACGCTGGATGTTCTCCACGGAAGAGTACAGGAGCTGGGGGCACGGGTGGGCGGCACAGGAGGTGAGTGGAAGGGGGCGGGCGCACCTCGCGGGCGGCCCCCTCCTTCTCCTCCCTTTACTGGACTTAACCCACGCTCAGACCAGAAGTGTGCAGAGTCTAAGAAAAGCACAAATAGAAGGAAAAGACGGCCAGCACACACAGTTCCCCACCCACACGCAGCCTCGGGAGCACCTTTCACCGGATCTCCCTCCCAGTTCAAAGTACACGCAAATTTCTTGATTCCTCGTTTTTGTTGTTGGGTGTGTGAAGTGGTCGCCTCTGATGGGCACATCTTTCTCTGAACCCCTCTAGACCCCTCAATACCTGACTACATCCCCAGGACACCTGGCTGCCCACCTTCCCCTTTCAGCCCTGGGGATAAGCAGGGGCGGGGGTTGGGGGGCCCTGTCCAGACCACCTGCCCCAGACCCACCTGCACAAACAGGGGAATGGTGTTGAGCCGGAAGATCTCCATGCGGTTCATGGGGTCCCGCGCGAGGATATGCAGGGCTCCAGTGCAGCCCTCCACGATCTCCTCCATCCTCACGCCATCCTGCATGCAAGGGAGCAGGGGCACAATGATGAGGGCCCTTGGAGACGGCCACACACCCCCTCCCAGAAATTCTTACAAATCTCCACCGGTCCTGAGAGTTGGCTTCCATTGCAACTCACCTCCCCGCTGACACACTTACACCCCGCCCCCAGGGAGGGCGGCCGCAGCATCGCCAGCTCACTCACCGTGTAGGGCTGCTGTGTGCCCGCAGCCACGTGACGCTGAGCATCCTGGTGGGCCTTAACCAGCAGCTGGACAAGGCGGGGAATGACCGCTGCCTCCTGCAGTGGGGCATGGTTGGCTGGGCACAGGGCCAGATTCCTGATCAGGCCAATGGTTGCCTGGCAAGACAAGGGATGTGATCAGAGGCATTTCTTGGACAGCTGCAGGATCCCCAATCTCCCAGCATCATCTCTTCCTTCCCCTATCACCTCACTGTGCCCCAGACACAGACACGCAGGAAGAGCTGCAGACATGAGGGCACCCCAGCGTGTCCCCTTGTCCACTGCGAGTCCTCCTGTCCTATACTAACAGCACTTGCTAAAAGGATACCCCCCTTCTAGAACATTCCACCAACAAGCCTTCCCCACCTCTCACTTGCAGAGTAGATCTAGTGGAAGGCTGGGGGTGGGGGTGGGGGTGGGGTCGGTATCACACAGCTTTTTTGCCTCACTCACTTTTTTGAATTAATATACGTAATCACCTAGACTCCATCTTATCTGGACTGCTGAACTGCCTATTACTTAGCCTATGCCAGCAGCCTCGCCCGAGCAGTCCCATCGCTTCACACCTGAGTCCCTATGGCAGACGCTGAGGGTCTCCCACTATCCTTCCTCTTACTCTTTGTCTTTTCAGTGTCGTCCCCCGCGGCTCAGGCGTCTCATAGCCCTCTGGCCCACTCTTGCCCTCGCCGGCCTCCTGGCACCCACATGGGGCCAAGCGACCAAGGTCCAGGGTATGAGCTGTAGCAACTGCTTCACCCTCCCCTGCCCCAACATTTCCGGGCCTGGAAGGCACCTAGGCTGGCACAGTCCAACCATTCATGCCAGACCCGTAAGGAACGTGTCCCTGGGCCAGCAGCCTCCTCTGGGGGCTTGTCAGAAGCTCCCTGCACCCCCAAATCTCCGCGGAGCCCACGCCGAATGAAGCCCCTCAGGATGGTAGTGTGGAGAATGCACCTCCTCCTCCCAGGAGGGCCAGGCCACTGAGCGGAGCGGAGCGTGTTCCTGGGTCTCCTCACAGTCACCCCCCAGGAGGGAGGAGTAAACTCCATCTACCCAGCCGCTGCATTTAGGGCTTTTCTCTCAGCAGCTTGGCCTGCAACTAGTCCTGACTGCAGGGAGCCCCACCCAAGGCACGTGGTACCTTGACCAGCGGCCACTGGTTGGGCTGGTTGAGCAGCTTGACGATGGCCGGAATGCCGTAGTTGAGGCGCACGGAGTTCTGGGCCATCTCGGCCTCGGGGTGGCGGCTGGTGAGGTGGCGCAGGGCGCAGACGGCGGGCTCGGTGATGTCGTCCTTGTCGCCGGCACGCAGGATGGCATGGATGAGCGCCTCCACGCCGCTGTTCTGCGTCACCAGCGTCTTGTTCTTGCTGTTGTTGCACGTCAGGTTGGACAGTGTGCCCGTGGCGCAGGTGAGGACGTTGACGTCGTCCACGCTCAGCTGGTTCACCAGAATCTTCAGCACACTCTCCAGGCCCTCCTGGGGATGGGGGAGGGGAGGGTGAGGGAGACTCCCGCTGTGGGACATCTTTCTGGTTTGTCTGCAGGGAGCAAAAAGGCAGGGGGGGGCCCCCCAAGCCCGCCCAGCTGATGTGCAGGGGACCCTGCCAATACCCTGTAATCCTGCCAACACCCCACAAGAGGGTGTCAGTTGCCTCTGAGCACCTGAGACTCAGAGATGTCCAGCCCAGTGGGCCTGATCGGAGCCTGGGCCTGTCTAACCTCCACCCTGCTTCCTCCCCTCTGGCCTCAGACCCAGAGCCCCGGGTGCAAAATCCCAGGCCAGGGAGGCCTCCAGGCTAGGAGGAAACTGTTGAGGCCACGCACTTCAGTGGCACAGCTGACCCAATTTTACCAGCTGCTCAGCTGTCTAGGCCTCCACTGCAGCCCCCTCAATGGTCAAATCCACTAGCAGTATATATTCTAACCCAGAAGCCTTACTTCTCCCAGAGGGTCCCACATGGGCCTCGTTGTGGAAGAGAAAGACCCAGGCTCAGGGAGAGACAGTCCTGGGTTCAAATCTCTGCTCTGGCATTTACTGGCCAAGGGCTGTTTCTGAACCCCTTGAACCTCTGTTTCTTCATCTAACAATGGGGTTCCACAGGTACTGAATGGGGTAAATGAGCCAATATCCCACAGTGCCTAGCAGAGTCCAGGCAGGCAGTGGCAGGTACCCAATAAACAGCATTGGTGGCGGGGAGCGAGGCTTCAAATGGTAGTCGGATTAGGAGGGGCCAGGTGGCAGGTCCTGAAAATGCGTTTCTCCTGACACTGATTTTAGGCCTAGAGGTCTCCACATTGTCTGCACACACACTGCTGCTCCCCACCCCCAGGTCTTGTACCCAGAATTCAGTTTAGAAGCATCAGCTCCCCTCATCTCTTCCCCTGCCTGGATCCCTAATAGGAATTAGCATCTTAAGCTAAAGGGATGAAGGATTCAGCCTCAGCCACTGGAAGAGACTTGTGGCCTCAGACCTCCCATCGTTCCTGGTGTCAGACTCTCAGACAGGGGTGGATGTGGTGAGCCCAGAGGGTGCGACAGGTGAAGAGGTGGGCCCAGGCCCCGATGCCTCCCTCACCTGTTTGGTGGCCACATCCGAGAGGTTGCGCAGGGTCCAGAGGCAGTTCTGCACGAGGCGGGGGCTGTTACTCGTGAGGTGTTTGCCCAAGGCCTGCATCCCACCTGGGGCACAAGACGGGAGTCACATCAGCCACAGGGGAGTATGGTCAGCCATTAGACAGGGCCCTCACCTGGCTCTCCCGGCCAGTGGGCCCCCCTCACTGGCCGTGACACTCACCAGCCTCCACAATGGCAGGCTTATTGCTCGGACACACGGACAGCACCTTCAGCACGCGGCTGGTGGTCCAGAGCAGCTTCTCATAACTGTAGTTACGCATGATCTGCACGAGGGCCTGGGGGCCTCCATTGGCCAGTATAATCAGCTGTGGGGGATGGGGAAGCATGAGTGTGACGAGGAACAAGGGGGGAGGCCGAGCTGACAGAACTGTCACTCCTGAGCGTCAGCTATGACATGAAACTTTGTAATTATTAAATAAGTCAAAATTTGAAAAAAGGGTAATATACAATGCTGGCAA